GAAAAAAAAAAAAAAAAATCCTCTCCATTTTCATGTTTTTCAAATTCATCCGTTTTCTAAACTTTTAGAAAAATAAATAAAATGAAGATATATGTACTTTTTTTTTATAAAAAAAGTGATATTTATTTCAAAATTTTAGTAATAAAAGAAATAAAGAGAGAAAACAAGGCTAACACATGATCCTCGCTGCATTTCTTGTTGGCCATTTATTTTCTCTCACCCAATTCCTTCCATATGATTCATGTTTTCCGAAAAATATAAGTTTTAGTAACAAAGGAAAAAAATATAGAAATATGAGTTATCGCATCAATCTCTCGTAGATATTTTTTTAATGATGTTTTAAGAACTTAATAAAATTGGAAAAATTACATCTCACAATAAATTGTGTGAACTAATATTTCTTAAAACAATTTTACATTCAAAGCAACGTTTTCGAAAGAGATGAAACAACTATTATTATACTACCCAAAGAGAGATTATTAGAATTTAGAAGAAAGGAAAAAAAAAGATATTTTAAGAAAGTATTAAAAATAAAAGGAAGGTAAGAAATTACTTAGTAAAAAAGGGAGGTGTATTTTTTTTTTTTTTACTTTTATTTAGATTCTACAAAAAAATATTGAACTAAATAGGTCTAATAGATTCCAAACCTACATTTTATGGGACTATATATTTCAATAGTTGAGTCAAATTGATTCAATTCTTTGTGTCTCAAATTTGAAAATAATCCACTAAACTTATGAGTCATGAAATCAGTCCATTGTTTAACACATTTTTTTTATTATTAATACTAGTACAAGAAAGAGGCTCTTTCATGTCCTTATATTGAATTTTTTTATATTTATTATCAAAAAGTATTCCTCGTCGAACATAGGAACAATCTTTTTTTAGAAGTTATACAAATATCAAAAAGGTGACATCTTATTAACTTGAGTTTTGTTGCCTTCACAAGAAGTAAGATTTGATCTCTGACCACTTGATGAAATTATGTGAGTCCCTCTTTACTCACTACTTGTATCTACCTAAGTTGGTCTATATTGTATTTTTTTTAAACATTCTTTATTTGTAATTTTTTTTTCCTTTTACCTAAACTTAAGGAGAGAAAACACATGCTCAATCATGTTTGTGCTTTTAGCCCTCCTTATTAAAAAAAAAATCATGTTTCTCTTTTGTTTCTATTTCCAATTTTCTTAAGGAATTACCATCATATTGTCAATTTATTTATAAAATAAAAAAATATTCTTCAAATCAAATAGCTATTCTTTTCTCTTTGTTCTAACATCTCAAGTTTTTTTTTTTTTTTTTTAAATATCTGGACCCCGGAGTAGGAAAACCATTTACGCAGAGTCACGGACTTAAATTCTGCACCCATTTTCACGGCCCAAAATGTAAATGTAGAAGAAAGATTGATCGACCCTAATACCTGTTTTTTCTTTTTATATGTTATTTACATCACAAAACTATTCATTAATTTATCCATAATTAATTTCTATCGAAAAATATTTAGGAGAGTCTCCTTAATTTTAAAATATTTTATTTGTATCATTTTGTAAATCAAAATACACTTATGATATACTTGTAAAAACAAAATATGGTACATTGCTAGGGTACAACATAGGTGTATTTGAGTGGATGTATAGTTTTTCTTGCACGTAACGTGTGCTTTAAGGGAAGACTTTTACTATACAAGAATAAACTTTATTAATTTAAACATATTTTTCTACAATTGAATAAGATTTATCTATTAACTAAATGATTTTTTAAACAATTTTCACTTCAACTTATATATATATATAACTAAATGATTATATATATATATATGATTAGTGATTAATATTTGTAGTGATAGAGACTCATAACCGCTTATAGGTTATAGAGTGAGAAGACGCGTTGAAGAAGCACAAGTCGATTTCATAGAAAGTGTGGTGAAGAAGAAGATATTATATTCTTACGCGGTTAATGGCGACACTTTATTGCACTTGAACTGAATAGCATATACCTAATGTATTCTCGTGCCTTGAACCAATTCATGGCTTAGGTCAAAAAGCAAGTCAAGTTTTGGTTATAGGAAAAGAAGTGATGCTACCATTAGTGCAAACGATAATGTAATCATGAAATAAGAAATAAAAAAAGAACATGAGTAAACTAAAATACAAATCGAGTGACCAAAAATAATTTTAATCCAACAAAGTGGCGAGTGGTGTTATAGTAATTCATAAAAGTAAGAAAATGCTAAGTTATCAAAATATTAATTAAGCCTCTAAATTTTATTATTCATTTTTACTTTAATCTTTAAATATATATGAACTAGTATTTTAATATGTACGATTTATGTTATATATAACTAAAATCTATAATTTGAATATATAAATCATATTTAAAATTTATATAAAGAGATATTTTTAAACATATAAATCATATTTTAGATTTATGATAATAAATTATATTATCCTATAATATTATTTTTTATTTATTAATAATTTATTTTAAATATTTAATTTAATTTATAAATAATATAAAAATTAAATTAGATAAAAAAATTTAAAAAATTTCCAAACTTTTTCTCATCGAAAGGAATTGCCTAAAAACTTATTGCCTAAAGTAGGTTTGTGTTTAATATATAAATATTCATTTATATTATTATTATTATGTTAGTTATTTTTTTTCTTCAAAATTTTGAGTTAATGTGATGTTAATTTGCATTTTCAGAAATTTAATCATCTGAACATTTTCGTAGATACCAAATACGATAATGTCTTTTAAATTTATGACTTTTTATTTGATAGAAATTTCGTTCTAATTCCGTGATTTGTTGAAGGAAGAAAATCACATGAAAAATACTTATGTAATTTTTTTACGCGATATAAAATAAAATGAAATCTAAATCGATAATGTTTATTTGAAAAAATTGTAAACTTGTCTAACTTTTGTTATATATTTTGTTAATAATATATGATTCATTGCAACAACAAAAAATGTAGTGATATATATCATATAATAACATACTACTTATTACTAAAAAATTCTTTTTATCTACACTATGGATATAATACGTATTGATATATTCATAAAAAAATATAAATATAGATTATAGTGATATATAATATATATATATATATATATATAAGACCTACTTATTCCAAGAGTAAATTTATGTGACAATCTTTATCCTACATGCCATAACATATAAATAATATGAAAATGAATAACCTTGATATAATAAATGAATTCAAAATTCATATAAGTAGAGAGGATCACATTGTTAGCATAAACTAGACTTAAAGGAATTAACATGGTTACAAAGGAATTTAAACCAAAGTTCTCAAACACATAACATGAGTTAAATCCTAACTATGCCTCGATGTCAGATGTCTTATCAGAGCACAATCCATCATTGAGGACTAGGCCTCATCACCCGCATCCCCAATATCATACTCATGATCACCTATAGAAAATACAAAAAAAAAAAAACAACACAAAAGAAAGGAAGTGAGAAACATCTTACTCTAGCTCATGATGTAGGAACGTAAATCGCCTATCCAAACACTAATAACACATACAACAAGATATAACACACACAAATAACCATTATCATCAGTTGTTTAGTCATATCGTAATAAATAATAACAAATACATTATAATGTATTATGCAAAGAATATGGACTACATATTATCATCCATGTAGTACTAGTAAAAATATCACACTTGTTCATTGTCCCTAGCAATACATGTAAAGTAGCCTACGAGTACATGTTGTGTCAGACTCTTTATATTCTCATTAGGAGGACATACTACCAAGGTCTAGCCAGGATAGCTAAGTCATACAAGATACATCCTATGTTCACGAAGACAAGATTGAGACTTCCAAACTGAGTTATCTCGAAAGTTGGTTCCCAAGTTTTTACATATGGAGAAAATATAAACCCTAGAATAAGGGTTGAATAGTGTATATCAAAAACTCACACATTTTCTATAGTGAAGTAATAACGTTAGTTAGATGAAGCAAGAAGAGAAGTCAGATGAAACACTAAGTATTTTTATATTGGTTCACCTCAACCACCGAGAGAATATGTTCTATTCTCAATCCAACTATATTGAGTCTCACTATCTTTAAATAAAAGATACAAGTATTCTTTTAACAAGTTACTTCTGACTTAATCCTAAATATTTTTTGAATTGCCCCTTCAAGTAACTACCCCAAAATTATTTTAACAAGTCTTTTCAGGCTTAACAACCAAGTATTTTTTTTATAGTCAAGCCTCTTTAGGCTCAAGAACAAGTATTCTTTTTCAAACAAGCCTCTCTAAGATTAACCTTACGATAATAGTTATGAAGGTTATAGAGAAGTTGTGTTCGTCTCATTAAAACATCATACAACCAATTACAAAGTAATGAATGTTTACAATAAAGAATAGATTTATAGATAGTGAGTTTCTATACAAATGTATCTATGTAAAATTAACATCTTTGTCTTGTGCTTTGAAACTTCTTATATAGTAGCTTATAGAGGATGATTGTTACAACATTTTGAGTCCAACTCACAAGTTTGCTTCATCTATCTTCATTGTCTTTCCTTGTGATGACATGTGACCGTTTGACTCATTTAATACGAGCATTAAATGTATTTCACCAAATGGTACCTCTTATTTGGTCAAGGAAGCTACTTATCTGCTTTACATATATACTAAATAGGGCTTGCATGAGCAATGTCAGCATAAAGTAGCTATAGTTGCGACTTTATCTATTTTTCTTTATGATTTCAGAGATTTGGTTCTGACGAAAAGCATATTCTTCTCTTTAATAGATTTGTGAGCTATGAGATGATCTTTTGATTTAATTTTTTCAAGGAATGAAGAATTCAAAACAAACTATGTCGTTAGTATCAATAAATGATAAATATTCAATGTATATGAGACAGATCGTATACTTCATCTGATTAACAACATCCTATAGACGATTTGTGTCTTACACTTCATCTAATAAACCTTTGAAAGATATGTTTCAATGCCCTTTTTGCAAATATTTATTTTGTATAAAACATTTTATTAGCATTAAAACAGTGAGTTTAAGGGATCATTTTTGACTTAACATTACACAAGGGATCTTTCTTGGTAGTATAAAAAATACACTTTTATGCAAATGATGCATGTCAAATAGATTCAATGCATTATATTCACATGGCTCCATGGTTTCACATTTCACATATTTCTCTTACCACATTACTCATCATAAAAAATATTTCATACGTTGATTTGAATTAATAAAATAGAATATCAAATAATAGTTTTCAAATTGAAGTAAGTGATCCCTTCTCATATATATATATATGTGTGTGTGTGTGTGTGTATGTATGTATGTATACATACATACATACACACACACACATATATTTTGGTTAAATTACACTTTTAGTTTCTCTATTTTTATTGATTAAAAATTTTGGTCTCTCTATTTAAAAATAAAGATATTTAGTTTATATATTTTGAAAAATATGAAATTTTGGTTTTACCATCAATTTGCTGTTCATTAATCGCTAAATTTTGATGTTGTTTGTCGACCTGTCACCATTTAAGTGACATGATATTTAGTAACTTGGTATACAAATAACATTGGTGATATTTAATAACTAAAAAATAACATAAAACAAATCTTTGTTAATATTTATTTTTACTAGTAATTGGTATTTATTTTATTAATAAAAATCTTATTTTTATATTTTTAATTTTTTAATTTCTAAATATGATGTTATTAAGTGTCACATTACTTAAGAATGAGTAAACATTAAAACTTAACAATTAGTAAATATCAATTTGATGGGAAGATTAAAATTTTATAATTTTAAAATTAGAGAGACTAAATGTCCCTATTTTAAAATAGAAAGACCAAAATTGCAGATTAATAAAAATACAAAGATCAAAATTGCAATTTAAGTTTACTATTTATTTGTTAAAATAAGTTTGTGGAATCTTAACTTTATCTTTTACTTTTCTCATAAATAAAATTTCATAAATTCTTGAATAAGAATGACATTTCTTTTATATAGAGAGACAAAGGAAGAATTCACTTACTTAAAGGAGTACGTCTACCTACACTTATTCTACTCAATAACCCATGTTTTCTTTTAAACAAATTTTGGTCTCTTTATTTTAAAATAGAGATATTTAGTTTTTGTATTTTGAAAAACATGAAATCTTGGCCTTACCATCAATTTGATGTTTATTAATTGTTGAATTTTGACGTCACTTACAAACCTGTCATCATTTAAGTGACATGATATTTAGTTACTTAGTATGCAAATACATCTTTAATAAAAATTAAAAAAATGACATATGAAAGATCTTCATTAATATTTATTTTTACTAGTAATTGATATTTATTTTATTAATAAAAATCTTATTTATAGACTTTTTTAATTCTTTAATTTCTAAATGTTAGATTATTAAGTGTCACCTGACTTTAAACATTAAAACTTAATGTTAGTAAATATTAATTTAATGAGAAAATCGAAATTCTATATTTTCAAAACTAGAGAGACTAAATGTCTCTATTTTAAAATACAGATACCAAAATTGTGAACTAATCAAAATAAAAAGACCATAAGTACAATTTAACTTTTTTATTTATTGGGTAAAATAAGTTTATGGAACCATTTCATAAAATCTTGAATAAGAATGACATTTCTTTTATATATATTGAGAGAGAGAAAGGAAAGATCTACTTACTTAAAGAGTAAGTCTACCTACACTTATTTTACTTAATAACTCATGTTCTACATCAAACAAATTTCAAAGTTCTTAATGTATAGATCAAGTCTACATAGTTTTAAAATTTTAAAAACTATTTGATACTCCGTTTCATTAATTTAAATTAACATATAAAATATTTGTATGATTATCCATCGATTTAAATTAATGAAATGACGTATTAAAAATTTTTCAATTTTTTTTTAAATTTTGTAGACTTGACCTATGCATTATGGATTTTTAATTTAACGATTGAATCATTGAAATTTGATATAAAACATAAGTTATTGAATGAAGTAAGTCTAGGTAGGTATAAACTTACTTTTGGAGTAAGTGAATCATTCTCTCAATTCTAATTAGAAGAACAACATGCAACCAACATTTGATCAAAATCACCAAATTTTCATTATCATGTCCAAGAAACACTAAAAACCCGTACATAATAATTTCACCTCCCAATCATCTAACATAGCCATGAATCTAAGCATGCATACAACTTATACACCATAACAAAATTAATATATAAGCTTTCCTTACTTCTAATCACTTCGGATAGAGAGGAAGAAGGAAATTTGGTCTCTCACGATAGCTCCGCACAATTGCTACAACTCTTTAAGACTTCATAAGCTTTGAATCTCTTATCAACAACAAATCCACCCTCAAGGAAAGGTGGAAGAATTTTAGTAAGTCGGAGGAAAAAATAGTTTTTCTTGGATTTCATAGTTTCTCTCTCTAATTTTTCTAAAAAAATAAATTTATGAGATTCATTTCTTTAAAAAAAACTTTAAATATACTCTTGACTGGACAATTTAATATCAACTCAGTACAACTCTTAAAACAACAAAACTAATTAAAATTCCCAAATTCTTAAAATTTTATAATTAATAAACAATTAATTACAATATAAAATAATTAATAAAAACACCAATTATTATTAATTAAAAAAACCATAGTGTTACAGTTTGAATTTTAGATTTTGCACATAGAAAAAACTCAAACAGAGAAAAAATGTTTATCTATCAAGTATTTATCAAACTTCTAAAAAGAATTAGTACTCGTGTTCGACAAATACTTCTTGTTAATGAACTATAAAATATTTATTACATACTTAAATCTATGTAGTTTTTTTTTGAACATATAGTTTATTAAAATACTAATCATTTGAATTATTGAGATTTCAGATTTGATTAAGAATCGATATTTTTGGATAAATATTTTTCACGCAAGTGTTTTACTAAGAAATAATATAAGTTTATCCATAAACTATATCATACCATAGTACTGATATTTAAATATATTCCAATTCACTTATTTTAGAATACGCTTGATAATTTATAATTACGAAATGAAAAGAAAATGAAATCTCTTATTTTAAATTAAAAATATATAATATCTATAAAGGTAAACAAAATAATAAGAAATTTAATCCACGTTAATTAATTGTTTTATTTTAAAACCCACCAAATAAAAAAAATTAAACAATACATTTTTCCTCGTACATTCTCTAAAATTTAACTCCAAAACATGAAAGGAAAACAAAATGAAAAAAATAAAACGGTAAAAGACATTAATAACAGAGGCATGTATGATGATGATGATAGGACAGGTTCTTTTATATTTTGTTGGTAATTTCCAAGGATAACTTATGAGCTAAGCCAAAAGTAGTTCCAATCAAAGTCAGTCAATGCCTTTCCATTACAAATACAGATTGATTGAACACTTGGTAATGAACCCACCACACACTTCATTCCTTGCTTTGTAACACACTTCACTAACGATGGAGAACATTTCCATGCTCGATCACGTGCCTGTTGGATTCAGATTCCGCCCCACAGATGAAGAACTCGTGAACTACTACCTCAGACACAAGTTGCTCCATGATGATTTTCCTGTCCACATCATCCCTGAGATTGACGTTTGCAAAGTGGAACCTTGGGACGTACCAGGTAAGCTAAACAAAACCACTTCATCACTCATCATTCATCATGCACTCACAACCACTTCACTCTTGTTTGACACTTTGTCTTGTCTCAAATTGTGGTATCAGCGAGATCAGTGATCAAATCTGATGACCAAGAATGGTTTTTCTTCAGTCCTGTTGATTACAAGTATCAAAATAGTAAAAGGGTGAACAGGACAACCGAACATGGCTACTGGAAATCCACTGGAAAGGACCGTAACATTAGGAGAAGGGGCAGCACCAATGTCATTGGGACTAAGAAGACCCTTGTTTTCCATCGAGGACGTGTTCCCGATGGTGCTAAGTCCAACTGGGTTATTCATGAATATCAAGCTATTACCTCCCATCAAACCCAGGTTCGTTTGTCTTCTTCAATTCAACATATTTAACATTAACATTGTTTGGAAATTATCTTTGTGATACTTTGTAGTTGAATGGTGTCGTGTGACTCATGTAGCCTACCTCACATAATGAGATAAGGCTTTGTTGTTGTTGGAGATTATCTTTCTACTAGATTTTTTTGTCACTATGCTATAGTATGTAATTTTTAGGGTTTGATATCATGTCCTATCCTATTTATTGTTTCCTTTGTTTGAATCCCATGTTTTATATTTTGTCAGTCTCCATTCATGACCCAATTTTCTCCATTTGGCCTTTCTTGATGAATGACAAAGGTGGCATTTGGAAGAGCTTATTTCAGTGAGGTTTATCAAATATGATACTTTTTTGGTTTATTCAAATGAGCTTCCAGATAAAGCTTATGAATTAATTAAAGGGGTCTAATTGAGTTGGTTGAGCAAGGTGAATGAGTTATTACTTATTGCAAGTCCCTTTTGTTGGAGATTCCACATTGGCTAGTGTTATGACAAATATAATGTCAATTTCTTCAGTCAAAATTCATCATCAGTTTTCATCAAAGACTGTCAATTTCTGCTGTATAATTCTTTTGGAGAAAAATAATGTTGTTTTGCTGAATGCCCTATCAAGTCATTCTTTTTTAGTTTTTGCTGTGAGTAGAACTGTTTAGGAAATAAGTTTCTGATTTTGAAGCATTAGCTTGATTTGTCTTGGCTTCTTATCTGTACGAATTGTATCAAATAAATGCTGATTACCCTCCATGTTTTGCAGAGGACTTTTGTTTTATGTCGCTTGATGAAGAAAGCTGAGAAAAAAACTGAACGGGAAATTGAGGCGCCGAACTTTGATGAAGGGGAGCCCAGTAGACGTGTGGTTCCTGACCATGAAATTCCGGCTACACCAGTAGAAATTCCATCAGTAAGCTGAAGCATGCTTGATGGACATATTTACACTCTGCCTTGTGAAACATGCGGAAAACTGATACAAGTTTTTCAAATATTTTTTTTCCAGGTATCTTTAACCGAGATTGATATAGAAGCAATCCTCCAGGCAATGCAAGAGTCTCCCACTGATATTGCGTCTGATATTGATGTCTATTTTAGAAATGATAACCAGACGCAAACTCCATTTGAAGCTACTGATGATGAAGATGAGTTCGTAAATTCAATTTGGGCTGATGATGAAGAATTTGTTATCAATGAAGAAAGAAGACACTGTTTTGTCAATAGTTCCACACAACCAAAGTCATTGAGAAGGGTTTACAATGGAAGCAGTGAGATAGATGCTGAAGTTGTCTCTAATCTGGTAAAGATATATTGTCCAAAGTCCAAATGATATTGGGGAGTGTTTCTCTATTTGTTAATGAACTATTAGTTGGTTCTATAGTGTGCATTATGGTGATTTGAATTTTGCCACATTTTTGAAATGTTTAGTTATTTTCTCCTATAGACTCTTAAAAGATACTAGATGAAATATTTGGTTTGAGTTGGGTTTGATGTTTTGTTGCAAGGCTTGACCAATACATGTCACATTACTGAGACTTTAGTGCATGCTTGGGTGAGGGGAAAAGTTGGGAAGGGAATAAGGAAATGGAGATAAAGCAATCTATTTCTGTCGCCCCTTTATAGTCCTCCTTTCATCTCTTCCGCAACATATACCCTAAGGCACCATAAATACTCATTTCTTGGGTTTGTGCCTTTTTTTTTGTTGGACCACTTCAATAATTGACTTTAATCTGTTTATCTTCTGAAATTATTACAGCATGACAATATTAATTCTGGTGAATACCCAACACTGAAAATATTTAAATCATCACATGATGCTATCCGTGGTGGCACGAGTTGGATAGCTTCTAACCATGAAGCAAACATAGAGAAAAAGCAGAATATAATTCAAGATGATTTCGGGGCAGTGGAGACATCCTCTTGTGACTCGACCCCAGATGAACCTTTAGAACGTGGAAGAACAGACAACTTCATATTACAAAGAACTGTTACCGGAAGAACTAAAATACAGAGGAAGGTTTCAAACAATGCAGTATCCAAAGTAGAGGTGAGAAAACCAAGCAGCTGTGCTAGAAAAATAAAATTCGTTTCTTAACCAAGTAGGCAGATGCTTCATTGGAAGTGATTTTCATTTTAACATGCTATTGATAATACCTTGCTTCGTGTGGTGTATTCTGCAGGCTCAGAAGGAATTGCTCAACGTGAAATCAGAAAAAGATCAGAAAAATGCTCAAAATACTAGTTCACGAGGAAACTTCAAAACCAGAAGCCATCAATCCTCTGATGTCAATAGAAAAGGTTCTTTCATCTACATGGAGACAGTTTCATCAAACCAAAGCCAATTTCCTCGCTCAGTACATCTAGTAAATGTTGTTATAGGGATTTTGTTGTTAATAGTCATCAGTTGGGAAGTATTATCATGTTAGAACTTAGAAGTACTGGTAGTGTGCATGAAGGGCTAGTGAGGGGTACCATGGTTCCTTTTCATGTAGGGCTGCTACATGGAAAGCTGATTATTATATGATAGGTTATAAGTCACATGTATTTTGCACTGATGCATGCTCGCTGCATCTTTCTTATCATAATGAAATATCTAGCTTACCATTTGTTGCCTTTTCCATAATCATTAATTTTGCAATTGTAATCTTGATACCTTTGTGTAATTAAAATATGGAGTAAACCTTAAAGTGGTTGTCTAAGATTAGCTTAGCACTATAGTAGTCCTTCAAAGATTTTTTTATCACCAAATTAGTCTTTCAATGATACAAAATAGTTGCCAAGTTTGTCCTTTCGTGTCTCCACCGGCAATATTGTAATATTTGGAAAACCAAATTAGAGATTTACTCCTTAATCCTTATATCTGTGGTAACATAAACCTTGAGGCTAAACAAGTTTATTTTGATTCATGAATTTTGAACAATTCTATCGAGATGAACTTTTTCTTATTTTAGCTAATCTACTTGGTGATTCTTGAAAGCAGTGTCAAGTCATATAGGCAACATGTCATAATAAGCCTATGTTGGCCTTTAATGAAAATATTTTCATGCTGTTCAAAACAGGCTGGTATGCGTGTAAGGTCATTTGTAATATGTGGTGAACATCATGACTCATTTTCTTATCCAATAAAGATCTTCAAGCAAATCTTCACAAAAAATAATTAAAAATGAACATTAGCTGGAATTCTAGTAAAAAGATACTCTTTTGTCCAGTCAAAATATGCATGGCCAAGTTCTTAATGTGTAATTAAGGAATATCACTGGGTCGAACCTAACCTAAATCATCATACAAAAGAAGGAAATGAGAATTACTTTAAGCCATCCGAAGCTTCAGTTATTTGTTCAGCATTTTACGATACAATAGTCTGATACAAATCTGTCAAACAAACTGACATAGGATGTGTGCACATGCAACAATATAGCAGTGCCTGGCTAAGTGTAAAAGGCTTCAAATTTAGCCGTACGGTCTATAACAAGGAAATTGAACTACACAGGGTAGACTGCAATTATTGAATTAGTGATTATGAAAAAGCTAGCAGTTACCGGTTTAGATATTTCATAATGTTCATAGAAAGATACAGTAAGTTGCATCATTGTAGGATCATGTGAAGTTTGCCTTGTGTATCTCAAAATTATGAAATTCTTGATAATTCAGAGGCAGCAAGGAGCAATGGAATTCACTATTGTAATAGTTGAAACAACTGATTCTCCATCTATATTACAATATACAAAATGGAACTCTGGCTAAATAATTTATGTATTGTGAACATCACACTTTGCATAATGGTGAAAATTAGAAGATTGCAGAACCTGAAATGAAAAACTCATGTCTGCATGGAACACACTAGTTTGCCTAACATATAACGCCTGTAGTATCTTAACCGAAACTCAATCTTGTAGTCGTACAAATGTTTACCCTTTGACATAATGAGTTTCCATTTTTTAGGGGACACTGGCTTGTGCGAAGCATAACAAACCACCATTATAAAAGCACCTTATGGTGGGGGCAACAAAGAAAATTGACTCAAAAGATTCCATGTGTTGTGTTAAAAGGACATGCATGGAAGGGGCAATGAGAATGAGTTCACACTACTAGAACAGTAGAACTTGAAGTGCTTAACTTGGAGAGCAAGTCTTACTGTTCATAAATTCATATTACACAATAATAGATATTGTTTTTGGTGCTACACAACAATAGATATTGACTTGGGCTAAGTCTGTATACAATAAAAAAAAAAAAAAATCCTCAAAATTAACAGCTGGATTTGCAGTATAACTAGTGATGCAGTGACATTTTATGATACGAGTTTTTTTATTTGCTCTTTGTTTTAACGTATGTGTCTTTTTAATGTGATCTTTCATTTTTATTTTTTATTTTATATAAACCATATACATTATATTATCACTTACAAAGGTTGCTGTCTTACCTCGTTCCATGTCATAAGACCAATGGTGTGTAAAGCAAAAGCGTGTAGACCAATAGAACTTCTCATCTATAGTACGTAATACGTATGCACTATGTTGGGATTCATCCCAAGTCCCACATCGGTAAAATGAAGGAACATTGGCTAGTTTATAAGTGTCCACCATTCCACATAGTATGAGGCCTTTTGGGAAGGAGCCCAAAAACAAAACCGTGCGGGCTTGGGCCCAAAGCGGACAATATCATACTATGGTGGAGGAACGGATGGACTAGCGGGCCCTACACACTATGCACTACGTAATTCGTCATCTTTGGGATTTTTAGGCCACTCCATCACTAATTTATTTTAATTACACAAGTATTTTACTTTTACTTTTATTGATGAAATAAAAGAAAAAACATTTTCTTAAATCTTATATTTTCTTTATTATAACGTCTCCGGTTTTTTTTTTTTTTTTTGTTTGTTTGTTGCAATTACTCTTATTTTAACTTATCTATTTTCTTGTTTTCTCAAACTCATGGAAAACAAAAAGGCATTTACGCGGATTCTGAGGTCAAAAGATGGATGATAGGAAAGAACAATCTAGATCCATTCATCGGTGCTTGGAGCAGCAGTTACTACTTGGAAGTTTGCATGACTGTACTTGAAAAGGATATCAAACTTTGTAATCATGTGCTTAGTATAGTGGGGAGCATAACAAACTACAAAAAGAAAGCAAAAGATGAATAAGAATTGATTGAACAATATTCTGTTTTTTTGTTCATCGAAAGACCAATGAATTGAAATGGTGGGCCAATGTAGAAGCTTGGGGATCAAGGCAAATAATAAACCACAAATTTCATCCTAGGCTCTCAGATCAACCACATAGCCCGTGTATTTACGTTTTAAAAAAGAATAGATTAATTTTGAAAGGCATTAATGTTAGTGAGAGAGACTCATAACAACTTATATCCATATAGAATGAGAAAATGTTAAACAAATTCTTGTCTTTTTCGTGGAAAGTGATCATGGTTTGTATGAGGAAGAAAGATTCTTATTTTTACGCGGTATTAGAACTTAGTACAGACATTCACTTCTTTATTTGCTATATTTACAAAGGCGTAAAAGCATTTGCCTACTATGCATTCCAACTAAATAAAGGGAAGAAAAAAAAAATGTTACCACTAGTGCAATTAATGTAATTCTCAAATAAGGATTGGAATAATAAATTAAAATGAAATTCTATTCTAACTGAAATACTTACAAATATATATACTACTCATGAAGTATCACGATAGACAAAATCTATATGGGTGTGTTAGTATTTTTGAAAGAAATTAATCACCAACTATAATGCTTTTTTTGGTTTAAAAAGAAAAGATAAAAGAAAGAAAATGAAAGCAAAGAAAGAGAAAAAAAGAAAAGAAAAGAAAAGAAAATGAGCAGAAAGTGAGATGATATATATATTTTTTGTAATTAATTATTTTAAGTTGTTTAGTTGTATAAAAATTACAAGAAAAGTAAAATGACGTGGATATAAAATGACATAAATATTCAAATTTCAAAAAATGTATATAATAAATAAGAATATTTTTGACTTTTTACTATTTTTTTTTGTACTATTCTCTTTCTCTTCAAAATGAGAAGAAAGAATATGTGGGTCCGTCAATTTATTTTCTTCCTTTCCTTTTTTTCTTGTAAGTAAATGAGAGAAAAGTTTTTGATAAATGTATATTCTTTCTCTTTCTTTCCTTTCTAATTATTTTCTATTATTCCAAACAAAAGAAATACTAGTAATACATTTTCTAAGACACTCTTTTAAATATATTTATCTAATTAATTAAAATTTATTAGAAAATAAAAAACTTGATGGATTTCATACCCATCTCTCTTTTTCTCATGATTTTATAATTTTCAATAAATTTTAATTAATAAAAATAAATGTATTAAAGAGTTTGTTATTAGCACTCATCTTCCAAACATAGTCTTAAGAGTTTTGGTATATTTAGAAGAAGAAAAAAATGAAATCGTAAATTATTTAGTTTGTCACAAATCTGAATCATAATTTTCCCTGTATTTTTTTTTGAAAACAAAAATTTCATAAATTTATGAAATTGGATTTAACATAAGAATCACATTTTATGCAACTTCTTCTTTCATAAATATAATCATATTTAATTAAAATTTATAATTAATTCAAGTTAGAGTTTATATATTTTATGCAATATTTGTCTCAAATATTGATATAAGAGAGTTCTTTATCTGACGGATAGGATTTTCTACTTGTGCATTATAATTATAAACCTTGGGATGAAAAATATTGACTTTTCATTCTGGCATCAAGTGAGAACTTAAACACATTATAGATTTATTCAGGTGATAAATCTAGACAGCAAAGATCTATTACTTAAAATAAGAAAATATCTATTTCTATAATTGATAGTATTTAATAATCTAAAATTAATTTATTAATTAAATAATGTTAATTTTTTTTAAAAAATGGACATCACAAAGATATGTCGTTTTTCCTGAAGTTATTTTTTAGACAGCTCGTTTTTCTGAAGTTATTCACCTAGTTTATTTATATAGATATATTCAAATCACTTATTGATTAGAATAATAGAATTGTTATATAAGTTAGTTCCGGGAAGTAGGCATCCTCAATATCTTTGGTTTGGTTGAATAAAATTTAGTTTCTAAATATTTACTAAAAAGTATATGAAAAATTAGACAAGGAAAAAAGGCTTAATTTTAATAAATTGTTAATGTAATTTATTTACTACATTAATAAATATATTAAGTGTAAGGCTTAATTTTAAATATTATTATAAAGATTAATAAATTTTAATTTATGAACTTTTATAATTGAATAATAGTGTAAGGAATGTATTCCAATTATTTAAAATAAATAAATAAAAACACGGTAATGCATTACATCATAGTTTCCTATGTTTTTGTTTTTGTATTTTTCCAACGATAGCTTGTTGGTTAAGGAGTAAGGTCTTAGTTAGTCAATGTCTTTGCATTATAAATTGAGGAGCGAATCTTCACAACGCAAAAACAAACAAGCACTCGCATACTTCATTATCTTCTGTTTGTTGCTGCTTCATAATCTTTTCTTCTTTCTGTGTTGCAAACTACAATCACAGTGAGTCAAGTGTTGAGTGTTGCCAAAAGCGATGGAGAGCAGAGGTTATCCGGATCTTGTAGGACTAGGATTCCGTCCAAGAGATGATGAGCTTGTCGGCTTTTACCTCAAACACAAGTTGCTTAGTGATGATCCACGTGTGCAAGTCATCCCTGTCATTGATCTTTGCCAGGTCGATCCTTGGCATGTACCAGGTACCCTTCATCATCATGCCATCAACTTTTCTTTTTTCTTCCTCTTCTCTTTATTTTCTTCAATGTTGTTTCATTTTTTTTTTCTTCAAATAGTGATGTTAGCGGAATCAGCCATACGATTCAATGACCCAGAATGGTTTTTCTTCAGTCCTGTTGATTTCAAGTATTCAAACAGTAGAAGGTTTAACAGGACAACCAAGTGTGGCTTCTGGAAAACCACCGGCAAAGAACGTGACATTAGGAGCTTGGACACCAACACTGTCATTGGGACTAAGAAGACCCTTGTTTTCTATGAAGGCCGTGTTCCCCGTGGTGTCAGGTCCAACTGGGTTATTCACGAATATCATGATGCCACCTTTCATCAATCCCAGGTTGAAATGAAATATCGGTTAGATATTAGTTAGGATGCTGTTTAAAATAAAAAACATTATATTTATTTTCAAGATTTGCATCATTTTATATTATTAGGACTTGAGGATGACTTTTGTCTTAGATTAATAAATAGTGACTTTTAAGATGAGGGAATTTATCATCATAAATAAGAGAGAAGTCATATATGAAGAAAAAATTTATGAGTTTTACTTAAAATAAAACGTGGTGTCAGGTCCAACTGGGTTATTCACGAATATCATGATGCCACCTTTCATCAATCCCAGGTTGGTTTGCTTTTTCAAGAAATTTTAACTCTTCTTGGAAATAATCTTTCTCCTAGGAGATTTAGAGCATCTTTAGATACTAGAGTTTTTCAGAGCTTCTTTGTCAAAAATAACGAGTTTTTATCCATATAAATGTTCTCAAAATCTCTTAGAAGTTTTGATCCAAACATGCCCTAAATCTGGCCTTAAAACTATGATCAAGATTTAATATTATGTGAACACTTAAAAGTTCATGTGACTTTTTTTTTTCTTTTGAAGTTAAGTTCATGTAACTTATTTCATGTGTTGTGTGTTATAGTCATGACCATATAAGACTTAATGTTGAATATTTATTCCTCTTGTCCACTCACAGTATACAACCCCTTATACGCTATCCTATTGGTTGTTCTGACTTTTGAAAGTTATCGTTATTGGATCCTCTGTGTGAATTCCATGTTTTTCTTTTGTCACACTCATTCATCGCCCAATTTTCTCCGCTTGGGCTTGCTTGATGACAAAAGAGGTATTTAGAACATGGAAGAGCTTATAAAAGTGAATTATGGCCTTCCTACAAGCTCTTTTTAGCTTATTTCAATGAGTTTTATTTGGAAGCTAATCAAAACAAGATCTTTTTAGTTTATTCCAATGAGTTCCTGGATAAAGCTTATGGTCAAGCTCTCCTACGACTTATTTGACAAATGTTTAATTCAATCTTCTATCTAAGTACGCTCAAAATTCATTTTCATCAAAGGCTGTCTATTTCTTCTCCATACTTTAGTCTGATTTGTGTTTGCCTTTTGTTTGTGTGAATTGCATCAAATAAATGCTGATTATACTCCCAAGTTTTGCAGAGGACTTTTGTTTTATGTCGCTTGATGAAGAAACCTGAGAAAAAAACTAAAGGTGGAACTGATACACAGATCTGTGATGAAGGGGAGTCCAGTAGAAGCATGGTTTCTGACTATGAAAATCGTCAAGCAACGGCAGAAGGAATTCCATCTGTAAGCTGAAGCATCCTTAATAGACATATTTACGCTGCCATGTGTGAAACATGCAGAGAATTGATACTTGTTTCATATATATATATATATATATATATATATATATCTTTTTTCATTTTTCAGGGAAGTACTTTTACCGGAGTGGAAATAATCTCTCAAGCAACGCCTCAGACAGAGTCTCCAACTGGTGTTCAGCATGAAGAACCTTCTTTTTCAACCTACCCATTTTACAATGCCTATTTTAGAAATGAAAACAACGTTATGCAGACTCCATTTGAAACTACAGAGAAAGATGAATTTCTTATGCATACTCCATTTGAAACTACAGAGAAAGATGAATTCCTTATGCAGACTCCATTTGAAACTACTACGGAAGATAAATTCCTTATTCAAACTCCATTTGAAACTACTGAGGTAAATGAGTTCATCAATTCACTTTTAGCCGATGAGAATCTAGTTATCGATGAAGAAAGCATGCATGTTTTTGTCAACAACTCCATCCAATCAGAGTCATTGAGAAGGGTATACTGTGAAAGCAGTGATACAGATGCTGAAGTCGTCTCAAAACTGGTAAAGATATATTGTCCAAAGACCAAATAATATTTTAGAGTGTATCTCTTTATTTTTTTCTGGAATGTCATTGATTCTATCGGTTAAAGTTGTGGTGTGCATATTGTTGACGTGAAATTTGCCACATTTTGCAATGTTTAGTGATTTTCTTCTATAGATTCTGAAAAGACACTCAGGTGGAATGTCTGGTTTGAGTTGGGTTTGATGTTTTGTTGGGAGTCATGATCAATTCATGGACATTACTGAGGCTAGCATGCTTGGATGAAGGGAAAAGTTAGGAAAGGGAGGGAAATGATGATAAAGCAATATAATTCTGTTCTCATTTTTACCATTCCTTGAATCTCTTCCCCAACATAGACCCTAGGACTTCAGAACTACTCTTTTTCTAGTGTGTTTGTGATATATGTTTTCTTTATTTTGAGCATTTCAAGAATTGAATTCATCTGTTTATTTTCTTCTAAAATCTTTACAGGATGACAAAATTGTAGATACTTCAACAATGTATAATGAATATTCTAATTTAGATCAATACCATGCATCAAAAAGGTTTAAATCATCACATGATGTTGTCTATGGTGACACATGGCTTCAATCTTCTAACAATGAAGCAAACCAAGAAAAAGAAAAGAGCATATTTCAAGATAATTTTTGGGGAGTTGAGACATCCTCTTTTGACTCCACTGCAAATAAACCTTTGGAGATCAATTGTACTGAAATTTCTAGTTCTCCTTTCACTCCAAGGAGTTGGGAAAGTCAGTATCATCCAAGACCTAACAATTTCACATCACAAAAGGCTGATGAAGATCTTAAACGCAAACGAAGGTTTAAAACAGTGCAGTATCCTGAGTAGAGGTGAGAAAATTCAGCATCTTCATTAGAAGAATGAAGATTCCTTTCTTGACCAAGTTGGAAGATGCTTCATTAGAACTGATTTTCATTTTAACATACTATTGATAATACCACACTGCGTGTGATTTATTCTGCAGGTTCAGAAGGAGTTTCCCATTGCAAAATAAGAAATATGCTCAAAATACTACTTCAGGAGAGAACTTAGAAACCAGAAACCACCAATCCTATGATGACAATAGAAATGGTTCACATGTATTTTGCACTTATGCATGCTCGCATCTTTCATATCATAATTTAATATCTCTGCTTATCATTTGTAGCCTTTTTCATAGTCATTAATTTTGCAATTGCAATCTCTGATACCTGGGTTATTAAAATATGAAGTAAACCCCTACAGTGATTGTCTAAAGTTTAGCATAGCACTAGGGTAGTCCTTCAAAGATTTATTATCACCAAAGTTGTCTTTCAATGATAAATAGTAGTTATCAAGTTTTCCCTTTTGGGTCTCCAGTCACTGGTGACATCTTAATATTTGGAAGACCAATTTAAGGATTTACTCCTTAAATATGTGGTAACAAACTTTAAGGCTAAACAAATTTATTTTGTTTCATGAATTTTGAGCAATTCATGAATTTGGTAAAGTGTAAAAGGCTTCTAATTTAACCATACAGTCTATAACCAATAAATTTAAATTGCACAGGGCATTTGGATTGTAATTATTGTATTAATGACTATGAAAGAGCTATCACTTGTTGCTTTATATATTTCATTATGATAAGAAAGGTGCAGTATGTTTGTTAAAATATGATACAAACTTCTAGAATAATCTAGATTCTTATAGAAAAATACATAGGTATGCTAGTAATTACTAGATACAAATTCTAGAATCATGTAGATAATTATATATATAGATAGAAAATTCTAGAAATAGATATCTCTAGAGTTTTCTACATAAAACATGAATGATGTCTTGAGGCCTATAAATAGGCCATCTACTCAACATTTATACCAAGCAACTAGTAAGCCATTTCCACTACTCAAATCTATTCCAACTATTCCTCTAAACTAGTTTTCCTCTCAACTAAGTCTATCATTATAAATTTGTCTCCCCATTCTTTCTACCAATCACATAAGCTTTTACTATTTGATAATTCATAAACTAACAATGTTGCATTTGCCTTGTGAATCTCATCATTACAAAATACTTAAAAATTCAGAAGCAGCAAGGAGCAATCAAATACAATATTATAGTAGCTGAAACAACATATTCTAGATACATTACAGTACCTCAGTCATCGTGGAAGAGCAGCTTTGATGGAATGTTTCATCTCATGTACTGTGAACATCACTTTCAATCTCAGATAAAGAGAAACCTTAGAGCCCCACTTCTCTTTCCTTTCAAGAACATAACTTCCCATACTGATATAGAATTCAGAAATGGTGAGCCAACTGAAAAGCTCTTCGTGGGTGTTGAACACACTGCTTTGGAGTGTGAACAAGAAGCCTTCTGTTATAAGGTGAAGAATACAGTTATCTTCACACTTAACAAAGGATTATGGTGAGGCTACTGGTTTCATCTTGATCATGCCCACTTAATGTTTTTCTGGAGCAAGGATACCTTGATATGGATCACAAGAGTATTCAACTACCTAATGACGCTCTTGGCCATCTGAGAAGTATTTAAATTTATCAAATATGAATGTAAAAACAAACCCTTAAAGCATCCCTTTTTGAAGGATCCCATTTTGTATTTTGTGACTTTTTGTTTTTGATTTTGAATTTGAATGGTTGAATGCGATTATCATGAATGTGTTCAAATTTATTTCAGTCAGAAATTTTGTGTGTATTAAATGTAAAAATGATTCTCAATGTAAACCAAGCAGAACCTAAATTGACAAATATTAGTATGTGGAATCATCTTTGAGCAGATTTTCTGTGATTAAAATTAACGAGCCCTAGCCAATTTTTGAGGTCAAGGGGAGAAATTTTTTGAAAGACTTGAGCTGGAACAAGAAATGATCAACCATGATTTTGAAATTTAAATATTCTGGGTAATAGTTCCTCTAAACGTGCGACTCTAATAGCATGCAAATACACGCAACTTATCATCTTTGATATGACGGAGAAAGGAAAGTAATTTATGTAACCATGCTCCGTTGCCACCAACTAAAAAGAAAAATTAACGTATGAAGAAGAGTGAAATCAATCTAAAACATTAAACACACATCTTATCTTTCCTACCTCTATTTTTCTTTTAGCTTTTTTGGTGGACGGGTATGTGTAAAAATGGATCTGCCTTTTTCTTTCTCGAAGTATCCTTCTAAAATTCATTTAAGGAACTTATTTTTTCCCAACAAATATATTTCCATATGCATGAACATAGAGATCAAATTTCTTACCACATGTTTGAATAACACAATTATCTTTCAACTATACTAACTTGTTTGTCCAATCAATTTGTCTTTCTTGAAGTGAGAGATACACATTAAAAATAAAATATACTTGCCATGTTGATTATAAAATTAATTAATGAACATTGTGATAAAGTTAAATACAAGTAACAAATAAGGATAATTTAAGTGTAAATATACATGAATTTAACATTTCTTAATTTGTGCTTAGAAAGTTAAGGGTGTATTTAGTGGAGAGGAAAGAAATAAGTAATAACTTGTCATAGTCATTATACTATGTGAAATCACTACTAGTAGCGAAAATTTAGTTTACTAGAATTATAAAAGTTTAATTAACAAATATATGGACATACATAAAATATGAATAGTGTCAATAAATCATATATGTTATTTACAACAATCCCAAACATAAATTATATAACCTAGTATTGGTCGAGCACACCTATATAAGTTACACGAAGAGCATTGACACCAACAAAAGGGTCCCTCCACTTGACAACAACTACACCTCTAACCTAGTCTTGATCCACTCTTATACAATGTATGATCATCACAGTCCAAATTACATAGAAACAAAAGAGTAAGCTAGAGTTCAAGAATATTTAAACATAAAAAACAATTCTATATCATACCAAAGCATATATGAAAACTAAACACTCCGAAGCTAACATATATCTCATTCAATCATGTCAACATGACATCCAACAATGTATATGAACACACCACACATACATTATATGTATACACCTCAATTAATGTGTCGTTACACATTCACCTACAAAAATCTCCTAAAAATATGAATAGTCTAAGTGATTTCATCCTAACAAACCAACTCACTCATTTTCGCACTAGAAGCACCGACTCAATCACAACAAAACAGGATAGCAATCTCTCATTTGGTTTCTTGAGTTTTGTCACTTATACTAGGAAAGTCTAGTTCTACTGTTATGAATGATATAGTTGGGAATAAGCATACCGCTACCTTGACATGTATTACCAAATCACATGTGGAATTAGCCCATTGACCATTCTTAAGAGACCATGCAACCTTTTCAGGTACTTGGTTAAGGATTATAGCCATGATCTCTTACCTTACTCAACCACTAACTAAAAACCTAGAGGAGATATCAACACACCTCAAAACTCACTCTAAAAGATACACCTACTCAAAGAGGGTCAGTGGCCTACTCGAGCACCAATCCAAGATTTCCTATGTGGGATCTTTAGTTTTCAAAAAAAATTTCCTTTCCTCAAGTCCTTATAGTCAATATACCTTAATGTCATACTGTGCATTTTCAGCATCCACACCTCACCATACATCATCTACATGCATCACATCTATTCAATACATATAAATATCAACATAATATCATACATATATATAGCATACATATGCTCATCATCATCTAACACCATATAAATATCTACATGTGTCATATGCAATTAACATACATAGAACTACAATCTTCATACTTCATACAACATGCAACAAAACTCATACATCTACTCATGTTCATCATGCAACATCCCAAAACATACCAATCATATAGGCATCTTACGCCCGACACAACATACCTCGTATCCAATGCCATTGAGGCAAATAACTCTTTACGTTGCTCATATCCAATGCCATCTAAATCCTGCTTGACATGACCGAGGAGGAGTCCTTTGGGGCTTCATGCCTAGCATGGTTGAATCCACCATGGCCTCATATTAGGCAGAGATTCTTTACTTGACTTATGCCTGACGTCACCTTAGTGGCTCCCAATGTCCTCCAGGCACGTAGCCTCTATCTTGATCATGATTGGCACCACCCAACTAGGGCCTAGCGTCATCAAGTCAGAGACTTTCCATGGTCTCATGCTCAACATCATTCAAACTATGCTTGAGCCGTCCTAACTGGAGAAGAATCTCTCTCCTCATGCCTGGTACAACTGATCCTATGCTTGGTGTGAATGAGACAAAGACCCTTGATTGAAATTGCACTCGATGCCACAAAGGCAGACCCAAGGTCATATTAGAATATGCAGATAACAGATGGCAAAAATTGCCTCCAAGACTTGAAATACAGAAGATCCTGCACATGCATTGCATCCAACAATCCACATACATCATGTAAGACTCAAAATCATCAAGAAACAACACATGCAACATCATGTATGATTAATCACCAAAATTCACCTCAATACTCAAAAACACCCAAAACCTTTTTTCCGTTCACTATTCAATCTAATTTCTGCTACCTACATACCCATATTTGATGAAAACAACAAAAAAATTCATCAAATTAGACAACCAATTCGTCCTAATTCCTCTTACCTCAACTATGAGCTAACCAAAATCAAAGAAGAGGAGGAAGTAGAACTCCAAGCTTCCACAAGCTTCGTAACCACCCAAACTCGGATTCTCAACCTTCGAATGCTTGAATCACTACTCCTAGGATCAAAGAAACCTCTCATGCCTCAAGGAAATCTAGAAAAAGGAAGGAAGAAGAAAGCTTTATGTCATAACTACTTTTTCTACAACTTTCTCTCTAAGGTTCTAAAAAACAAGAGATTATGAAACTCAACTCAAAACAAAAATCTTATATATCTTTTCCTCTTGGGGTCAATTGAACCTTTGCCTAGAGATCTTCACAACTCACCTAACTTAACCTAAGTATAGTGTTACAAAATAGAGTGGAGAGTGACAGAGAGAAATAAGTGTGTGAAAATAAGTAAGAAATAGAGTAAAAATTTGGTTTAAGAGAAAAAAAATAAAAATAGAGTAGAGAAACAAAAAATAAAAAATTAATTATCAATTTTTCTAATAATCACATGACAATAATATAGTATCTATCTCACAGATGATTTAATAGGTAAGGAATTTTTTAATCGATTAAATAAATTGTGATAGTTTAAAATTGTAGTTACCTTTTAAAAAAATTAAAAAAATTTGTGGCACTAATCTACAAGAAAATATATTAAAAATGATTGTGTAGTTTCTAACCACCACAAAATGCAAGCTCCACCATCATAGGAGTTTAAGATAGTGGAACTTGCCATCTTTTTAACTCTCATCTTTTTATCTACCCATTCTTATTTTCACTATCTCCATATTATTTTATGCCAATTTCTTTGCCACCAATAAGGGATAAAAGAATGAGTAAACATCCAATTTGGTCCTTGAAAGATGGTAGAGGTAACTGAAAGATTTTTAGCACTTGGAATCCTAAGTTTTAA